GGAGACCTAGATCCCTACTGGACACCAGAAATGTCTTTTACTGGAATAGGTGGCTGCAAAACCCTATTTTTAAAAGTTGACCAGCATAAGCCAAAGAAGTGGATAGACACTTTCTTAGTGCTGGCTTTTTTTTTATGAGAGTCCATGGAATGATGCAGTCTGGATGGAGCAGTTGAGTAAATATCAATACCAAAGCCTGAGGAACACTCCATCTCAACAGTGGCCAATGGGAGAGCCAGGGAGGATTAGTTGAGTGCTTTCCATTAACACTGGCCTAATGCAGATTTTGAGAAATAAACATACTCTGGGAATTAACACCAGACACCTGTTAGGATCCTATAAAAAGGATGTTGAAAAGAAGATGTACTTACCATTCTTAAAAAGGGTATGCAGTTTTATTGAAGAATGACAATTGGAGGGAGACGAAATCATGAACGAGACAAAACAACCAGATGATGAAGACAATGGGAAACAAATATATGCAGATTTATCCACATGCCAGCCTGAAAGATCTCATCCAAGGGTCAGTTAAAAATTAGATGTAAGAGTGAGACTTGACAAATCTGATGTGATGATATGTGAAAGAACAATCACCTCCCCAAGCAGCTGAAATCATAGAAAGGAATGCCAGTCTGAATAGAGCAAGAAGTAAGTACAGTGAAAGAGAGTGAAGGAAGCATTGATGGCACCAATATGTAAATGATGGTAACCACAGGCGAGAAGAAGTAAACATGGCTTCAGAGAAAGAAAGTACGACGAATATGAAGCCGATGGCTCGAATGGAGCACGTAAGAGTCCCAGTCAAGAATGGGAGTAGGATTAGTGAGTTAGTTAAGAACGAAAATTCAGAACAAAGTAGTGAGGGCAGGAGAAGAAAAACCTGGCTTGAATGGGTAATGAAGAAAAACTTTTAATATAGTTAATATCGAATAGTTGAGATAGCACCACAAAAATAGCAATAGGGGAAACTGGTAATCAACGACTGAACAACCATGTGATGAAGGCTGAAAAGTGGGTCACAACAGAATGACTCAGAAGAAAGGAGCTGATGGACCAACACCTAAAAAACTGACACTTCTGTTAACTCTTTTACTACAAGCAGGTGGATTCCACCCAGCCCCTATCTCTATAAAGCAGTTCTACTGTAGGTTTTTAATATGTACACGTATTTTTCACAAAATTTTGCAGATTATCAGTAAAAACTACAAAGCATTTGTACACAAAATATCACACTTTAATTAAGTTTTAAGAGTTTTTAATTAATTATTTGCTCAGGTATTTCAATTGTTGACTATCCAACAAGCAAAGTAATTTGATTTTAAGATTAAAAATACTTTTATGTATCAGAAAATTTTCAAGTTTCACATGCAAAATCTCTATAGCCTCCAGATAATTATCAAATGTTTTTGTTTAGAAAAAACTTAATATTTTATGTTATTTTCATCATTGTGTCTCTGTATGGGTTTGGTCGAGTTGACTGACCTAGTTACCACCATAATAATTTGGAAATAAATATAAGTTACATTTTTTTGTTCTAGAATCATTACAAATTATAACACGAAACCATAAACATTTAGTCTAAATAGCATAAATATTATAACATTATATATATATATATTTATTTTTATTGACCTTTCAGTAGTGTCTGATTAACATTACAGAAGTTGGAATGACACACAGAAGATGCACTTACGTTACTATACCAAATAACATAAAACTGGCCTTTACAAAACAACTTGTCTTGGATTTGTTCTAGTGGACCAGTAGTTTGTAAATTACAGTCACATTTTGGTTCTAATACATTATATGTGTGTGTGTGTGTGTGTGTGTGTGTGTGTGTGTGTGTGTATATATATATATATATTA